CTTTTCCTTTTCTTGCGTATTCACATTTTGTTCTTTCTTCATATTTTCCCTTTTTTTTGTATGCCTGAAAGGTGTTTCACCTTCGTTGTGCACGTGACGTGACACAGTCGGCGGGATTCGGAGCTGAGTGGGAGGACCCAGAGGTCCACTACTGCAGCGCGAGTTCTGGCATAGGCTAGAGAATGGCGGCGTGGGTGATGTCAGCAGAGGGTGCCAGAAGTAGATGGAGTAAAGAGACAGGACTTTTTGGAGGCGTTTCTTTAAACTGGACTGTTGCAAGCTTTCAGATCACGGCGCCTGGTCTGTAATCATGGGGGATGATCCAGGGAAAGGAAGAGCTGATATGCGCAACTGTGGTGGGAACATTTACGTATGAGGCAGGGGTTGCTTGGAGAAAATCGCAGCGGAGGAAGGAGAGATGGATTTGTGGTGAGGCGGGGGCGATAATTGCAGAATGTGAACTTCAGTGAGGAGTTGAATCCTGAGAGAGCTGGCCGGAGATGAACGCTGCTGGTAGGAGGGCAAGGGATGGAGGTGACAGGATGCTGGAATGGAAAGCTGGAAGAACGGAGTGGTCAAAGAGTGTTGGGAAATCCATTGCACTGCAAAGGTTCTTTGTTGGAGCAGAAAATGTAAAGGTCCAAAGGCAATCAAAACGCAATGTGCAATGCGAAAGACACCCAAACATGCAAAAGTCGCATGCAAGGGAGAGATTTATTTATAGCATTTGGTGGAGGAAGAATAAGAGAGTGATTGCTAATTACTGATGGCTGGGAACAATTGAGCGTGGTTGTTGTCATCCCTCCAAACTTTCGTTATATAAACTCAATTTAATGAGGGAGTTTAGCTATCTGAACCTAGAATATTAATTTAACCTGCTGCCTTTCAAATTTTAACATTCTGACTGTGTTGCCTTCCTGTTGATTTTACAAGATTCATAATTTAAAGTGGACCATGGAAGGATTTAGTAAGTAATTTAATTAAATTTTTTATCTGAACATGTGAAGGACCAGAGAAGTAAGAGATGAGAAGATTCCAGGTAAAAGATATTACCAAAGGTGTAACAATACACTCTGATTTATACCTTATACATGCAACATCAGAAGCTACATGATCAATATGTGACTTCAGCTGAGCAGCTCTGACTCTCCAGTAGAAAAGTGACTCTAGTCTCTCTAGCTGTTCCAGTCTGGAAATTAGCAGAAACTCCCTGGAGTTCAGGCTCATGTTCAAACACTGGGACTGTGTGCTGTTCCCTGCAGGCTCTTTCCTTCAGTCCATGAAGAGGGAAAGGGGCTGTGAGGGCAGGAGGTGAAGTGGGAGAACATCTTTAATACCTGCACAGCCACTACTGAACATCAGAAACACTTAAACACTGAACAAGAGTGTCTATGGACATGAATGGTCACTGTACTTTGTACAGCCCATTGTCCAGTTGGGGAGAAGGAAAGTTAATGGAAGGACAGTTTTAGAATCCAAACCAGAATTCACAGCCTTGAGACCGGCAGTTCAACAGAGACAGATTTATTAATCCTACAGGATGGATGGTAGGATTAATAGAGACAGATTCCACTGTCTCACCAGGAATTCTCAAAATTCAAAAACAAAAGCAACTGGTTACAGTATGTACTCCTTTTTTTGTCAAAAAGCTCTTCATTTTACAAAAGGCTATTAATTCCAGTTTCTACATTCTGTTTTTCACTGAAAGTCATCATATCCAGAACCCAGGCAAGCACATCCTATTCTCTACCTCACTGATTCACTCCCTCTCTCTGATTTTCATGAGCTCCTTGTCAGGAACTTTTTTCATTACTGTTAGTGAGCTCAGTGTTTCTGAGTTCAAGGTTAGCAGTTTGTGTCTGTGCTGTTCACAAGGTTAAGATGGA